GTGATGTGGATTTTTAGCATGTTGATTAACTTTGAAGGGAATCTGTTCCTCCCACTGGCAGCAAAAGTCCTGCTGCAAAACCTGTGTTGCTTAACAGCGATGTTATCTGTTTCCTTGAATGGGGAGACGATGAGCTAAGGTGTGGGTTCCGTGAATTGAAATATTCGATGCTGCAAAATTCAAGGGGTCTCTATTGTGATAAGATAAATGCCACATAAGCAGGAGATATAAATTTGAATTCCTTTCTGCAAACAAATCATCGTCCAAATGCCACTCTTACTCTAAATTCGGTTTTTTAATTATAGACACAGCCAACATTACCGTAAAAGACGTGAGTTTGCAGAACAGGCTGGATATTTTCACAGGCCTGAAATTTGGCGCTCCTGTTTCAACCACAATTTTTGTGCCATACTGCAAATTCCCAAAACCTGATAAAGGTATCAAAGTAAATGCCTTCAATTATCTCAACACGGGTTCGTAAGTCCTAATGCCACAGTGCCTTTGATGGCAGATGAAGTTGATGTGCAGACGTCGTTTCCACTCTCTCGCTTTGTCAAGGGCCAAGAGTCCCATCAAATCAATTTTGCGATTGGTGGAGCAGATAGCAATGGAACGGTACACCAATTCCTTTAATTTTATTTGCCCTTGTGCTAATAGTTCTTTCAAAATACTCGTCCAAACTGCACTTTATCAAGAATAGTCTCAAATGAAGATGATTTAAATGGTACATAATTATTTTATATAGACTGTATTTGGCTTGAACGGAGAGCGGGCCTGTGAATGGAGGGGACATAAACTCGTGCGAAACATCACCGATCTTTGCAGTGAGTACAACACAATCAAAATTAAGAAAGAGTTCTATGTATTTGTGGCCTTGTGAAGGGTGCATTTCAGCCAACTCAGTTTGGAATAAAAAGAAAATAAGCCCATTTTCAAACACCTTGATAAACGAGTTTCCACCGCCCCTTTAGGACCACATTCCCATTTACGACAATTTGAAGCGTCTTCACTGAGCTTACATTACTGTTTTATTTTGCAGCTGACATGG